CGCGCTCACGCACACACGCGCTCACGCACACACGCGCTCACGCACACACGTCGCACACATGTGCTCACGCACACACGTCGCGCACACGCGCTCACGCACACACGATAAAAAAAATCGTGAGCCCCCTTAGGTCTTTGACCCCCAATTCAAAACTGCTTCGGGCGCGCCTGACCTTACTTACGTAAGGGAGACCGGCCGAACAGAACTGATCAACTGAATCGCAGTACTATTACAATTGAATTTGTCTTGATTTCAGTGAGGCGATTTTTTTATATTTTTTTAAAAACTAGATTTTCCATTTTTTTGCCTTCTAAATCTTAGGGGGGCGACCGCCCCCATCGCCCCCTCCCCCTGGCTACGCCACTGGACACTGCTATGCTTTATATCACATAGAGGGGTCCAAAAAAAGCTATAACCTTACTCATCCGACCCAGCATTAAAGTATTAAAGTCAAGTATTAATAAAACTATGAGGCAAAATTTCAAACAAAATATCTAAGGCAAAATTTCGACATAAAAAAGGTCGACATAATTATGATAGCTATGGTAACTTATATACCGCCCCAGAGGTGGCGCTGTTGTTGTCGCCAGGTCGGTAGGAAATCAACAAACAAACGTATGATGGCACTTAACTTATGAAGTAACTTAATGTAAGTTATAATGAGCCCATATTGCATTTATTATAACATATTTACTTGTGCAAGTTTAAAGAATAAAAGTATATTACTACATAATGTTAACAATGTCGCTGTCGCGTTCTTGAAGTTGGACATGTAAAGATAAGATAGGACTCGTGCTACTAGTACTACTACTAGTACTAGTACTACTACTACTAGTACTAGTACTACTACTACTAGTACTAGTACTACTACTACTACTACTAGTACTACTACTACTAGTACTAGTACTACTACTAGTGAGTATAGCTCTAGTACTATAGCCCGCGGATCGCTGCCCCAGGGCTATAGCACATTAGCGCATAGCTGTAATCTAAGCAAATGGTCCAACTGATGTGACCAAAATTTATCCCCAAAACGTAAAATGATCGGGCTTTTTAACACTTATATATCAACATGGACATCTCACCTATCTTTTTGAACAATTCCACAACTTTACACCAGGTATTTATACTGTTATTCCTCAAAGTCAGCACTCATTGAATTGCTGGTGCGGCACACACTCATTCCAAAATGTTCCTATGTGGCACAAGAGAAAAAAAGGTTGAGAAGCACTGCCCTAGAGTGTCATGCAATACCTCTTTTTA